GAGAGAGAGGGAGGGAGGGAGTGCGGCCTATCTGCCGCCGTAACAATTGAACCCGTAATAGAATCACATTTATTCTTATTACCCGACGAGGTCAACCGACCAGCGAAACTTCGAGACCTTCTCCTCGCTCCCATCCGACTTCGGATCGGCTTTCCTAAGCCATTTCCACGACCTACGTTATTTTTCCCTCGAGCTCTCCGTCGTTCTCTCGCCGTCCTACGCCGTTTTCATGGTCCACTTTTGTTTATCCCTGCGGTTCTCCCAACCTGCGATCTCTCCCGAAACGCGAAACAATCGACCACCGCCGTCCCGAATGTAAAGAGCGGAGCGATTCCCGACGTAATCGCGGAATAAATACGAAATGCCATTAATCCGGAATGGAAAGGAAGAATTGTACGGGCGACGTCTATCATCGAGATAAGCGATGGCTGAGATGCAATCAACGCTACGTTGTTTCGTTAGCCGACGATCCGACGTATTTAATATGTATAACCGTGACTCACACACACACACACACACACACACATACACACACCACCCACCTACGTCGCGTGAAGAATCTGCCACTTTGTATCTCGCTCCCCATCTCCCCGTGATGTACCTTGGAAGTTAAACTGCAAGGCCATCAAAATCTTTAACCGGGTTATGGAGATGCCGCTTTCGAGATAAATCGCAAAGTTTTTGCATAAAAATTCTTTCAACTGAACTTTGCGAGCTCTCTCTCCTTCTTCCCCTCTCTCTCTTCCTCTTTCTCTTAATTCTTTGCTATACTTTTTTTTATATAAATTAAAAATACAACGACAATATCTGTAGCGCTTTGTACGCTACGAAATATACAAAACTAGCTTCGCGTGTACGAGATGTAAAGTATCGAAAAGACCGAAACGGTGAATCGTCAAGGCCGCGTGTGACGATAAAAGATATGGTGGGCGTTACGAGGTGCTGGATCGTCACTGGAACAACCGACGCTCGAGGCGACAACCTTACGAGATGTGTTTTCTCGAGTCACCGCTGCATCTACGTGCAGAGATACAGAAATTTCGCGAGAACGAGGGCGATAATTGATTCTCGTTATTCCTCGCTCGTATAATAATTTTCCTTTGAAAAAATCCGCCTTCGTCCGGCGGGCGGAGGTCAGTGCGTGCGTGATCGCGATTTCATCTTTCGGGAAGAGTTCGATGAGCGGTCGAGCCTGTCGCGAGCGTTAGCTTAGACAGGAGAGACTCCTGCTGTACCACCATTAATATTAATGCATTCCGCCGTATTCTCGGTCGTATTGTGCTCTCGCGTCGCCGCCGCGTCCAACAATATCGCCCTCGCGTTTCTGTAAATGACGCCACGCTCCGCGCCCATCTCCCTTTACCGCGCCGAGCGGAGGAGTCGAGCGGAGTGCGGCCGGAACGGAACGGAGTTTTGTCCGCCGGAGCTGAATATTCACGCCGGCCGATAAATAAAACTCAAAGGAGGAAAGCGAAACAACGAAGCCACATTTTTCCCCGCCCGCGCTCACTTTTCTTACTTGGTTCGCCTCTCCCTGCCGCGGCGGGAGGGGAGGGCGAGGGAGGGAGGCGGGAGGACCTCCGCGGTGAGACCGCATTGTCGCATGGTTTATCTCTCGTCTTACGAAACGCGTCGAACAATGCGCGTTTCTATGCTCTTGCTTCTTCGCTCGTTGCACGTCGCTCGATGCGACGTGCGGCGCTGGAATCTGCCGCTCTTGTTTCGTCGCCGAGAACAAGCTATCAACTCGATCTCGATTGGAGAAAGTTATCTCGCGCTATTTATATTTTCTACGCGCGCGTTCCAATTTCACTTGTGTCAAAGCGCGAGCGCATTTCCACGCTCGTTGCGCGCGATCGCGCGACTGACCGAACTCGAGACGAGATCGGATTTTTCAGTCTCGCGCGACTTCTTCGGGCGGAAAACAAACGGAGTTTCGTTAGATTTCGATTATTTATCTCGAGAATATAAAAAACCGCGCGCGCGAAACCTCGTATACGAATATGGTGCGTAAGAAGCAAGATTTAGAGGAGAGATACACTCGGGAGTCATAAGTATAGCCACAGGGTGCCTGCCTCTCGCGAGTCTCCCCTCCTCCTATCGGCCAATACAAAGAAAGGATTACACGGGTATTTCGGATGCGATATCTATCATCGTGAATTATCACGTCGTACGTTGGAAAGTTGCCGAAGATACCCATTGTGCTCGGCCGATTTAACGGTTAAGAACCTTTTTCTCCTTCATCCCGGAGAATCGTGCGATTCGCGTTCCGACGCGAAAGATGCACTTTTATCCGATTTAAACGTCCAAACGCGAAACGTGACGTTACAGTTACGAGCGTAAACGCAAGGGCCGCGGCCTCTCTGCTCGTCTCCCGTTTCTTTCGCTCGGCTCTTCCGGTTTCGGCGGACGATCGACCTGCATCGGAACGGAAACAGGTTGGTCGAGTTTTAAGCAGTCCGAAGACGTATCGCAAATTAGAAGAACGTGCGTCCGGCGACTTACACGTGGCGCCTGTGCCGCGACGTCGAATTTCTGCACGCGGCCCGCGTGCAGAATCCCTAATAAGTCAGCGCGCCGTGCGGCTAGACAGAAGTCTCTCTCTCTCGCGTGCGCGCGCCCGCGCGTATTCGAATGCGGCCTGCCCGCGGTGGAGACGTAGCGACGTCACGGATACGTGGGATTCCTCTCGAGCAGCTGGATCACGTGCACCAGCGGGACGTGAGGCTAACTTAAATGCGAATCAGGAACTGTGCAACGCGCGCCACATCCCCGCCGAGAGCCGGGTCCCCCTCTCTCCCCCCCCCCATTTCCCCCCCGCCCGCCGTCGCGGATTTTGAACGCCGCCCGATCCCGATTGTTTTTCACCCCTCATCGTCCTCGCCACCTATCACCTCGTCTCTCCGGATTCACTTGGACGGAGACTTAAAGCGGTATTCGACTGGACGTCGGAAAATCTGCGGAAAATCGCTGATCTCGCGCAACGCCGCGCGCAACGCCGAGATTACGAAATCGCGAATCGCGATTTTACTCGCGGCATCTTCGCTACTCGTATTACGCAAAAATTGCGCAACGGAGGATAATTAATGTCCTCCGTACAGAGAATTATTTTTCATAGAATTATTTTTCACGATCGTTACTTGAGCATCAGGTGAAATTTTTCTTGCGGCGAAATACCGCACGCGCGGTACCCCAAAAGTCTCTTCAGACGCAAAACCGAAGGAGTAACAATAGGTATTTTCATTAGTCGAGTGGTTCGGTCCAACGGTGGATATTTGATTCGCTTTTTATCGCACGGCTTCGCATTCCGGTCCGCGTAGTCGCTTCGTCGAACAGGAACGGAAAAACGCCCGCAAAGCTGACTTCTCGATCGTAATGTCGGAAGAAACTCCCGGCTTAGGAGTAAATAGCATTGTGAATACGCTCCGAATGGCGCTTTATTTATTCCGGAATTCCGTTTCGCGCGCGCAAGAAAAGCCCGGCTGCTCTCCGCCCGGTGTCGCTCGACCTATCGAAATAATATCCGCGTGGACTTTCTCGAGAGGAGTAAAACGAGTCGGCGCGCGTTTACCTTCCCGGACTCTCTCGTATTGCCCGATATATTGCATTTTGAACTCGCCTGTAGACCGGTGGAGCGATCGGCGTGTCTTATCTAATCTCAATATAATTGCGAGAGCGCGCGTCATAAAATAGCTTATTATACTATAGAAAAGTTGATTCGGGGACCATAATACGGGGGTCTGGAAATTAGCTTCGCCCGTCTGCCTATCTACAATGGTGA